ATTTCCAGGCCGAAGTCTCTGGATACAGGGATCCGAGTTCGAGGATCTCGACGAAATCATCGCGCGCCACGTGACGCCGATGGCGGGTCACGCGCGCGATCTCATCTCCTACAAGTACTACCGGCCGCTCGGAGGCATGCGCGACAAGGCCGAGGAAGTGCTCAAAGAAGAAAAGGCAAAAAACGCCAACAAGATTCATTACGTCATATCCGCGGCTAAGAATCACCCCGGCCGGTTTTTGCTATCGTATCTCCCGCGGGCGAGGTGTACTCACGAGTATGTGTCCGTCACGCCCGATGGCTACAAGTTCAGGCAGCGGATGTTTGATTCCCTTGGCGGGTTGCTCAAGTGGTTCAAAGAGCACTTCAGAGATCCGCCACCGAGTGGGACGCCTCTACAGCGTACGCCGGCGTTACGTACTCCGCACGCGTCGACGATATATCACACGCCGCATGCTCATACGCCGGCCTTCCATACGCCGGCTCACACGCCGGGCCCGGCGTATATCAATACGCCTTATACGCCGTCGGCGCAAACGCCGTACATGACGCCGTTCGCCGCCACGCCGCGACAGCCTGACTTCCTCACGCCTGCAGCGCCGCGTCATAAGCCCATTGCCGTGCCCGTGCAGGTAAGGAATTTGTTTTTATTGTGTAAATTTATGTAATGTGGTCATGATCAATTTAAAACTGTCAATATGCCAAATTTATTCTTCAGTTAAAAGTTATCCGACGATTGAAAAATCAGCCCTAAGTAGTTAATCGCAAATTATTCGGTCAGTTAGACCTTAAAAAACTAACATTATACTATGAAAGTATAATGTTAGTTTTTCTGTATTCTCAAATTTGTCTGTATTGCTTTCTATAGAATAAATATGAATTTATTCTATAGAAAGCAATACAGACAAATTTGAGAATTGAGAATGCTAATGATATGCCTAACAAACGTATTATTTTGGTTGAATGTACCAGTTTATTCACTTCAATTTATAACGGTTATTTAAATATTGACAGCTCCATTTCTCTCAACAGATGCAGCAGCAAATGCAGCCTATTTACACAGAACCAGCCGACTGGCAGAAGGCGGCCGAAGACTGGGTGCGGCACCGCACGCGCGACACGCCCGCCACGCCGCGTGGCAGCGAGGGCGGCGCCACGCCCCGCCACGTCCGCTCCACGCCGCGACACGACGCGCGCTCCACGCCACGACACGACGCGCGCTCGACTCCACGACACGACGTCCGAGGCACGCCGCACTCGCACTCGGGCCGCTCGTCGCGCGCGGCGTCGGCGCGCTCCACGCCACACACCAATACCTCGCCGCGCTCCATGTCGCTGGGCGACGCGACGCCGCTCTACGACGAGAACTAGGAAGACTGACGGCTTGCCGAACTGAAACGTATTTTTATTTTTGTACCGTTTAGCGACGGGGCGCGGCGTAGTGCGGCTTCGACTCCGGTGATGTTTCTGGCGCGGCGAGGTTCAGTTTCAATAATCTTGCTATCGTGTTTTATCCACTCATGTATCGCTTTGACAGCCCTCGATAACTAAAATCGTTGGCAAGATTAATTTGAATTTGGTCGATAAAAATCTGATGCGTCAAAAATGCCGTTCGAAGTTTATTTTAGCTTGAAATCTTAACAGTCTTTCGGGGACGTTAGTTTTCTCTATCCATTACGTACTTCCTAATCTATATTATGAATTTAATGTAACCTTATCTTAATCCTCTCATTTTGTTATTGTTTCGTGACTTCGTAACTTCCACCTTCCCTATTATTTATTATAGGAAAATAAATTACTGGAAAAAGAATTCTAAATAGCAAATGTTCAATAGCAATAATCATGTACCTATAAAGTGAGAGATTTATATATTCCTGTTACCATTGCAGTTTTCATTATAGTATCAAATTCTATAGCTGATTGGCAGTCATATGTTTACTAGATATTTTGTTATCTAAGTCGGCGCATGTGCCCATATAAAAATTATGGATAAATATTTATTATTCTCGGTCATATAACTATGTATTGTTTGGATTTAATAGTACCAAGCTGTTGGTATTTTGATAGATTGTATTAGTTATCTGTTTTGGTATGAGCGTGAAGTTTACTGGTCATGAAGGGAGTAATGTTCGCGCCAATATAATGTGGAAACCTTTTTAAAAAGGTAAAGTTTTTGAACAAAATTGTGTGATGGGCAGTTCAGTTATCGGCATACTTTTTATGAGATGTCTAAATATGACTCCTACAGAATTTATTTAGCAATAGAAACCTAATTAATTTTAAAAAAAGGGTGTCCATGGTTAAAATGAAGTTTAGAAAATGTATTCTTTACATCACTATAATGTTTTTTGCAAGGTTTATCAATTTCTAATTGGCGCGAATATACTCGTGGATTTGTGTAAGTTTTAGTTGTATAGTACTTATTATTAGAAAATATTATTAAGGAGCGCACACACACCAAGTTATCCAAGTATAATAATGCCTTATTGTGCCTAAAATAAACGATTTAACGATGTATAGTTGCCTTTACCCCTAACAAGATATCAATTAATTAATAGCTGACATATTCACGCTCATACAAAATTATATAAGATCGCGTTACTGTAATTTGTTATAATAGCTTTGTATTGAAGCATTTTGCATCCAACTCCAATGTAACGAGCCTGACATGCCTTAGGGATGGTCAGTGAACAGTTCTCTACATATTCACGGCCATTCTCTCGATAAAACGTAATCTAAATAAAAACTGACAAACCAAACAATGTCTTTTATTTTTCAACATAGAGCGTAAAGTTCAAAATATTATCTTTATTCGTAAAAATTAATTGAATTAAACTTACAAATCTTCAAATACTCTTAAAGGAGCCTATACATGTCTCATTCTTTTTTTGCCCTATCAGCGCTTCGAGACACCATTTGGCAATTGGCAAACTAAGCGCTGAGAAGAAGCGCCTCGACAAACTCGGTTACCCACTGCCTGCCGACAACTCAGACACCACTGACTGCCTAATCCAGTTACCAAGAAAATAGTAGGTACCATTAGTACACAGAGGTCCCGCCGCACGGTGGTCTGAAAATGAAGCTCCCATACCATAGAAACTTAATGTCATAAATTAATAAATAAAAATATGCATTGTGTTTAGTATACCTCCCTTTGTTTTACTAATATAGTATGAAGGGTATGAGTAGCTCCATGTGTAAGAAAAAAAATATTTTAATTTTTTTTGTAAAGAAAAAAACACTTAAAGTCGATTTTTTTAAAACTGAATAGAACTGAAGGGCTGGTACTCACATGAGCTATTGCACCATACACGGCGATCAAGATGACATACAATTCTTGTGCCTTTGGGTGCCGCTTTGCATGTACCAAGCTTTGGAAATTTTGAATTTTGGGTCGGTGATNGTAAATCGGGTTTTTTATAATGTAAGCACTTGTGTATGTTTGCTTAAGGTCATGGTCAAACAGTTTTTTGTAGTCATTAGACGAGCCATCATACTTGAAGGCAGGTAATTACTAATTACATAAACCATTTGGGTACTAAATGTATTTTGACTTGATAATACTGCTGTGTGTGTACAATGAGAGAGAATATGGTATTGTGAAGAATGAGTCCATCCATCCTATGGGATGTAGCTGGATAATTATTGCTCTATACTATTGAGGCAAATCGCCACTGGCAATATAAACTGTAACTGCCTTTCTGATCAGTCTGCTGTACTTACCTCTGTAAATACTTCCGCATTAGTAGGTAAGATGTACAAATAAGGAAATAATCGTTGGAAATGTTTTGCAAACGGAAATACGATTAATTGAATTAAGTGCCTGGTGGTTAACCAAAGGCTTAAAAGGAAAAATAACTGGCCAATTTCTTTCAATAGATTTGAGCCTACTTTACTTTCCGGCGAAATGTAAGAAAGTTGATGTTATTATTTCCCGGATTTGTCGCCTGTTTTGTAAGAAATCTGAAACGTGCCTTTGTAATAATAGTAGGTAGGTATATATGTTTTTGTTAGACCAAACAGTTTTTTTAAAATAATTTATTTAGTCGCAATAATAATTTAAATAGGTAACAGTACGGCTAGCACGAACAACTTTCGAGTTCGAATCGTTTGCGTATTCGAATCACCATCAAAAGATTTAGTACGAAAACTACAACAGCGCCCTGATGATCGTGTCGCAAAGTGAACTTAGTATGAGAAATGATTGCACGAAACCTATTTTGAGAATCAAAATTGTCACATTATCGTTTAATTCAAAGGTTGAGAATCGAATTTTGTCGAATACGCAAACGATTCGAAGACGAAAGTTGTTCATGCTAGAGGTACTGGTTTGTAGATGGAATCTCACTATGGTGATCCTTTTAGTGTTAATGTTAGTCTTAGCTTCAAAATAATGACAGTATTTAAACCAAAATAAATGTTTTTTTCACGGAGACAGGAGTTGTAAATAGTTATTAAAAGTATACCAACGTACTAAATTAAAACATTTGTGAGAAGTACCCATAGATTAAAGTAATGTAACCCTTTGTAAACAATGTCTATCTTATTGTTACACGCTCAGCACGTGTGATGGGACACTGGCGGCTAAACTGTACAGTCAACTAGAATTTTGCTCTAGATTTCGTTTATTTTACACTACCTACTGAATTCCGAGGGTCTAGTAGAGATTGTTTTATTAAAACCAATTTGTTGTTGGATCTCTTTACTTGATAGGAAACTTGAGAAACAGTAGCTATTTTCGGTAGGTAATTTGAATTTTATAGCCACGTTAAAAAGATCCAAAATCTGAAAATTTTAAATTGCTAGTCCGGTTAAGGGTTAACAACCGGAGTCAGAGTCAGAGCATAAGCATAAGCTAGTAACAAAAATATCTTCATTGTATGGAAAAACTGACAAATATTTTTGCAGATGACTGTTCCAGAGCGACGTTTGATTACAGGATGTTTCGAGTCGCCTCAATGGTCACTGCTTAAGATAATCCGCGCTAAGAAAACGTGAGACGAACGCTCAGTCGATCAGACGAGTTCAGACGCTGCGTGCGCGCATAGTATAGACGCATGCGCGAAACGGTCCGCGCGCGGGTAAAATCAATTAGTTACCGTTATTTTAACAAATTCGGCTTTTGTTGTAAGTTACTTAATTAAATTAAAAAGTGAAATTAAAAGTCATAGGTTTCGGAAAATATAGGTCGATAAAATTAAATAAAACAAAATTAAAAGAGGGATGCCAAAACAAATCGTTAGAAGCGACAAAGTGACATTTTTAGGAACTAAAAACATTTTCAATGGAAAATTATAAGCCAAAGATTTTGTCGTCTGAAAATCTCACCCTCTGCCCTCTGGCACCTACAACGTTTTGGTTTGGCATCTTGGGACTCCTCAAATTAGAAAATAAATAAAAAAACTGAATTAGATCTAAGACTAATAGGTACTAGTGGTACTAGGTAATGTGTAAGTTACTAAGCCACGTTAAAATTAACAAAAAATAGCAATGCCTTGACTCAAATACAGAAACCATAATTTTTAATGGTTTATGTGTTTTAAGCAGTGTTATCAGCTTAAATACTTACGAGTTTCTGTATTCTTAGACTTTATTGCACCGTGTTCATGTGCCGAGTGCGTGTGTTAAGAAACACTGTAACACAGTAAAATAAACTGTGTTACAAAAAAAGTAAACTATGAAGAGTGAGACCTATTCGTGTAAAAATCATAGGTACCATTGATTATACGGACTGATTCTTGTTCAAACAACTAAGCTGGCTAAGCTAATCAAAACATAATCCATTGTTAGACAACTCTTCGGTTATTTTCGCTGTCGATTGTATTTCTCTGACTCATTTTCCAAACCGCTACAAGTATTTAGCTAATTAGTTACCTCGTAATATGCCTTCGAAGTATTGTATCTATTCTATCTATCGAATTGAAAGCAAATATTTAACACCCTCCTGTTGTCAGCAATATTTTATTAGTTTTTTCGATCTGTATATTTCAACCATTGAATGCCGGCATGAAACTGCCTTTTTATAAAGACTTTATCATTTAAATTACAATTACAATATTCATTAGGTACATAACGCTTCATTTACGTATTTTTTTATTTTCGATTTTTTTAAATTTGGTTTATTAATATGCGTGAAAATTGTATGCGTGTTTCATGAATCTTCTCTACTAGGTAGAGTCTTTATCTTTGCTCGACAACTTACAATGTTACAATAACAGTATAACCTTTTTATATTCACTTCGTGTTATTCTATAATTATTGACATAAAAAAGAGTAGCTGTTGTAAATCTAATGTGATTAGCGAATACTTAGATTTCAGGAACATCGTTTACAGGGCTACAGGCCGAAAATCGAACCTCGATTCCGCGAAGTAGCGGTTTTCGCACTTGTTTTGTTTTCTAAAAAATTCTAGACTATTTTAGAAGATACCAACTGGTATTCAGCGGGGTCTATTAACCTATTAATTTTGCCGATAACTCGAACTTTGAGCAACCTGTTTTATTGTATTATGTATTAAATAAATAACGCAGTCTTTCACGGGTGACTTAATAATGCCATTTGTAAAGGCAAGATTCCGGTTCGCCTTTGATAAATTATAACATTTTGTTATTTAATAAAAGCCTGCGTGACGCAAACTAGATAATTTTATTCAACGTAATCGATATTTTTATAACAGTGGGGTCAAATAGAAAACGAAAATTCACTAGATACTTATTCGTTAAATGTTTTTACTGCTTTACAAATAGTGTTTCCTACTTAACTAATTAAATAGTAATAGTAATGACTTCAAATTTTATGGTCGCTATAGGTGTTTAAAATATTTCCATTGGCCATAACTTCAAAGTGACAACAGTCCTAGATCCAACTTCGCTATCGCTATAATAAATAAATTATTATAACAAACTAGCGGCCGCCCGCGACTTCGTACGCGTGGATCCCGTTTTACCCCCTTTTCCTGAATTTTCTTTGCTATAAACCTCACGGAGCCCGAGACCTTTCCAACGAATGCAAAACCGTGGAAATCGGTTCGTGCGTTCTGGAGTTATAGCGTCAGGGAGGAAAACCCGACTTATTTTTATATAGTAGATTACGAATATTGCATAGAAAATACATAACGCTACAACATATTTTCCGACAGCTTCATAGTAGGTATTTAAAAAAAATGAGGCTTTTGATTAAGGCCGAGTTGAATCACATAACTTTGACCGTACCTAAATATAACGACCGGTGGTTTTTGTCTGGATTTGACAGACTTTTTGGCGTCTGTTAAAGTTAAAGTAAGATGGTGCAAACCAGTCTAAGATGTTAAAAGGAAACATCCTTTTTTATAATCGGGTAAAATAAACCATCATCGCTTTTTTACTAATTAATCTTGTAACGCTTCAATTTTCAACCAAGGTTCACCTGCTTCCGGCTTGTCAAGAGCAAGCTTCTAATGTTGTCTTAAAATTTATATTATCTAAAGCTAGAGGCATACCATTGGTTACATCGTTAGCTAGCTAGCTAAAGCGACATCTATTGGTTACATACGTTTAAACATCTTATTAGTCTGTTATTGATTCACTGTACACGAGTATACTCTTTAAAATGTCACATTACAAGTGTCCTAAAAGGATGCGACCTCTATTAATCATCATCATCATCATCATCATCATCATCATCATCATCATCATCATCATTTCAGCCACAGGACGTCCACTGCTGAACATAGGCCTCCCCCAATGCTTTCCATGTTGATCGATTGGTAGCGGCCTGCGTCCAGCGCTTCCCTGCTACCTTTACGATGTCGTCGGTCCACCTTGTAGGTGGACGTCCCACGCTGCGTTTTCCGGTACGCGGCCTCCATTCCAGAACCTTTCTGCCCCATCGGCCGTCAGTTCTGCGTTCTATGTGCCCTGCCTATACCTCTATTAATACCTGAAAATTACTTAATTATTTCTGTTCGTTTGCCTCCTGTCCCATAAAAAAGAAAATACCAACCTGAATTTATTTAAAGTTTACAGATTTTTTCCATGATTTTCATAAATACTTATTTGAATTTTAAATGTGTTTCTAATTGAGTTCAATCAATACAAAACAAAACAATATTTTAGATGCAACAAGTCACACGAATGTAACTCTAGCTTTATTTATTTTAATAGTTTGATGCATTTATTAATACAAATCTGGCAACTATACATTTTTTGCTTAAATACTTAAACTGATTAGCAAAACATCGTGATTAATGGTCTTAATTTTTTATGCAAGTATAATGAACTGAATTTTAAAGACCAAAGTTCATACGGTGATAGAGAGCATCGATTGGTATGAAGAAGATAAGAGTATTGAATAATAACTATTAGATCTAGCTGACTCGATAGTTAGAATTGGTATTATTGGAAATAGTCGATGTAGAGTTTTGCACTAGCAACGAAAAGTGTATAAAACACACGAACAACAATAAATTGTTTTCACTTTGCATTTTCAGCTAAGGAGCCAGTCATCTAATACAATAATAGAAATAAAACATCAAGAAGATTTTAATTTAAATCACCTAGTGTTAGTGTATTGTGTATCTACCTCTATCATAAACAGATTACGATTAAGAGTACGTTTGTACAGCTGTAAACAACCTCGTGTATTAGCTCTAGTTTTTAATTCTAAAGTCATTATGAATGTGTATTTTTTGTAGCTAATAAAAATTAGAGTAAAAAATGTCTTGGTTAATGTATGCAAGACTTTTATGAAAGAAAAATCTTCTGCAGTGAACAAACTTGCGTCATGGAATTTTTTTTACGTAAAAAATGTTTTTAAATATTATTATGTTACTATTTTACTGCAATATGGTACACAATGTGGTCTAGGCTTAGCAGTTTTGTTGCTACTATTATGTAGGTATTCTGTGGTTTTGGTACAGTAGGTACTAGTACTACTCAAAAGCCTCCATTGAAATCTCATCCTTTGTCTTAAAAGACAATGTTAGCCAACGGCTATGAAATTAAGTACGTCATTTAAAACTTTACATCCACATACCGCAAAATGTAAATTATTTTAAGCGTTTTTGAAAGACTTTTCTAAAACAAAAAGGACAAATCGTCCGATTCATTTGTTGTAATTGGTATTCGTTGTGACTCTTATAATATACTGTATACCTATTTAAATACGGTAACGGTATTATCCAGAATTTTTAAATAAACAACTTGACAAAGTCGAACTGCCTAAGGCGGAAAATTTTGTTTGAGAAGCGATTAGATCGCTAAGAAAATTTTAATTATGCAGAATGTTCTGCAGCGAAAGAACTTTTTGTTCATTTAGGCTTAAATTAATGAGGTATAAGTACATACCTGATTTAAGGCCTATTCAAACCTGAGCGATATTCGCTGCCGCTGTGGGTAGAGGTACTTACATACCACGCGGGTTTCGCTTAGGTATTTAGTATCAAGTACCGCGGCTAGAGTGAGGTAACCCACTGGGTTTTCTCTGCCGCAGACGGTAGCGAATACCGCTTAGGTCTGAATAGGCCTTAATGGATTTTTTTTATTTAATTCTTCGTACTTAGTGATCTTTCCCCCATTAAAAGATTCCCTTGACCTAAAAGTGTAAAAGTCCTTACATATCATTGTAAAAGTAGTTCAACGTACCACATCATGCTTAGCTCTTGTCTTGAATAATGCATAGCACAATTATAATCTTATTTATTAGCTTACATCATATTTATGATCTGTTATTTCAATTGCAAAATTATTTGTTGCGATAGGTCTAAGTTATATTTAACTTAAATCAAGTTAATTCTACTGCATGCGATGCTTTTAAATAGTACTTTAAAGGCTACGTTGCATCATCTTAACTTTAACCATAACCATAACTAACCGGTGTTTTTGTAAATAGTTTGCCAGACTTTTGACGTTAGTAGGAGGCCACGTACCGGAAAACGCAGCGTGGGACGTCCACCCACAAGGTGGACCGATGACCTGATAAAGGTAGCGGGAAGGCGCTGGATGCAGGCCGCTACCAACCGTGCGATGTGGAAGTCATTGGGGGAGGCCTATGTTCAGCAGTGGACGTCCTGTGGCTGAAATGATGATGATGATGATGATGATGACGTTAGTTATTTGAAATAAGTTTTTTGTTCTTTCCGTTTTTATGCACCAGTCTTTATTGTTACGAAAATGTTTTAGAAGTTTTACAAAAGTATCGTCACTATTGTCAGCTACCTACCTATAGGTATGCAAAACTTGCGACTTGCATTTCTGGTAAACTGTTAAAAAATACTTTAACTAATTCTGTCTTTCTGTTACCAATTTTGACCAATTTTGGTAATTTTGTTTTAAAAAGATTTACAAATTGAGGTAGGATTACAGAATGGTGGAATCAATGATTTCTCAAATAAGGCATTCAAAACTCATCATAATTATTATAACTTGAATAATAAGGAAATAATTTTTGTTCAGGAGTCGCTTGGGAGTTTGTTTCTAGTGAGCACTTAGGTCAAATCATCAGACAGAGAAATCAACAAAAGATGTTTTCGTATAAATGGTTTTTAATAGCAGTATTTGCATTGAATGATCAAATAAAACGTTCCGCTGTTGGTCTCTGAACTAATAAGTGTTTAATTCAAGCAAAGCAATAGAAAGGTATTAGTTCAGTAATCACTGCAAACCTATTTGCTATGGATAAGGCTACCTTAAGCCACACTTAGCTGTTGGGTCGGCCTTACTCAAGGTGTTCATACATACGTCTCGTATGATAGCACGGCAATTATTTATTAGCATACTGCATTTCTCTACCAATCGTTCAATAAATGTTTGCTTGATTACGCAATGCCCTTTAATGTAGAACGAGAGTTGCATAAATTGTACCTCTGAAGAAAAGTTCATAGAATTAGCATGGGTAGAGTCGAACTACCTACCTTTTTTAATTTTATTATGTTCGTTGATTGTGTCTTCTAGCAATCGAACCTACTTCAATTCAACCTCTGCACTGGCCCATTTTTGGTCAATAAACCAGTAGTAGGGTTAAATTAATACTGGGACGTGTAAAAGAGCTTTTCAAAAGCCTATTTGCAGAAGACAAATAACTTTTACGACTTTATGAGGAGGGAGAGTCTCTTGCTCATGAGCACTAAGGTATACATGACATGTAGAGGCGTTTCTAAACTGAACTTTAATTAGGTATGCATTTTATATACGAGTATAGTAAAGCATATCATGCCTAACTAAAGCCAATATTTTAGTATTGAAGACTTAAAATCAAAACAGGCCGTTGGTAAATTAATTCATAAACTTTAAGTCTGATCGTAATCGAAAACTTTGTAATAATCATCACAATTGTTATTATTCAAAGGTCAAATTGATTTCGGCGATGTAGGAAGATAAAAATGATTTGACGGTTCACATAAAAGGTGCCTACCTGAGGTGCCTACCATAACCTTCTTATGAATGGGCCAGCGCAAAAAAATCTGATTTCATGATCTACTGAAGTAACATTTAATTGTTCCATGTTTTTGATGTTATCATGATGGTGTTTTGTGCGCTTGTAATATTTATAATCAACAGAAACAACCATACATTTTGTATTTTGAGTTCCTTGTGCGATACTCTTTGTATTTTTGATTTGATTTGATATATTTTATTTGAATACTTCATTCGATATTTAACAATAGGTTTGCAAGAATAAGAAATCGAGTGTATTTAATAAAATTCGTTCTAAACTTTGTGACGGTTATTTTCTAGCTAAAATATGTAAATGTAACGTATAATTTTATTTATATTCTTTCATAATGGAGTCTTGTTGGATTACATTAAAAATTCGTTTTAAATATATTTAAAAAAAAACGTAACATTTCAAGTTAGGTACTACTTATAAAACAATTTAAACAAAAGTTAAGGCGCTTTTATGAGTTTTCACATTTTCCTGAAACAATTAGCATTCTATTATGTCTGTATTATTACAGTTAATTAAAGTTTACCGTCTAATTTAATAAAAACACCGGTATTTTTACAAGGAAGTGGGTATTTGTTGTGGGTCCGTAGAGCGTCGTGTTATCTCTATCAATCTAATGAGTTAATCAGGATGAGAAGTTATTCTTTGATTACAAAGCTTTGAATGGGTTTTCCATACACTTTTTCAATTTATGATTCATGGAAACAATTAGATTTGTTTGTAGATAGTAACTTCGAGTTCCTAAGAATCTACTTGTTCATGATACGCGAAAAATTATGTTACTTATTAGTTTTTCAGTAGAGACGCGATATAAATAATATCCTGCGTCTAAGCTACTCAGTCATTTGAATGGAGTCAAACGTGTAAGACGAACCAGTATTTATGACCTATGGTAGAGTCATTTATTATTACTGTGAAGTAAATATTAATTTCTTGCAGTTTACTCTATTTATGCAAAGCTTGAGTAGCATTTCTGAGAGGAATTAAATGAACTACTTACAATGAATGCTGATTTACTTTAGGAAGCCAAAACAGAAAAATAATTTGATGCTTACACCATTCCCAAATTAACTCTTTCTTCGAGCATCTTTTGTGAAGTGATACTAGATAAACAGTGAAAATGACAGTGAAAGTGGAAAACCCGGTGGAAGGCGACTTCAAGCCGAATGAGAGGTGGAGAATCCTCAAGAATGTGGTGGTCATCAGCATCGCTTTCATGGTCCAGTTCACAGCATATAGCGTAAGTTTATTGAAATGACCTCAGGATACCCCATCCATTTGCCATTTAGAGTTATTAAGTCGTTGAAGTTACCACTGGCTGAACGACTTACACGAACTGAAGTCAGGACAGTCTCCAGTTCAAAAAAACACATACGTCTTGTAATTGCAATGCCTCAGAAATATCTCAGAAAATTAATACTTTTGGCATTAATTTGGCGTAATTGATCGCACGATAAAAGATTCCAGTGAAGCAGATCGCTAAAGTAAATAAAGGAAATCTAGAAAATGAGACATTGTAGTGACCACTTTCAACAGGCGCTCATGACGTCTGCATGTTCATCCCACTTCCATTATAGTATCTATAAGGCATCTTGAACATTAACTGACTGTTTCACTTTTTATACAGGGTGCGGCAAACCTCCAAAGTTCGATCAACGCGGAAGCCGGTCTTGGTACTGCGTCTCTCGCTGCTGTTTACGCTGGCCTCATCTTTTCTAACATATTTTTGCCAGTTCTAGTCATAAAGTAAGTGTTTTTAATGTCAGTATTAGTTTAGATCACTATTGCCTAAATGTATGTACCTCTAAAGCCTTTGACCTCTCTGCTTATAACCGTAAAGTAACTCCTAATTGACGTTGCATGTTTAGTTATGCATCACCGATGACGCTGATAACGCGTATTTGTATTCATTCTGAAATTATTATTGTATTATGTACATACGAGTATATGGTATGTGTAAGTTATAAGGCCTCCACTCAGCAGGTGTCATGCTTTATGGTACGTACATGGTATTCTGCGGAAACCATAGCGTTATTATTGGACGCCATAAACAGCGGAATTATTTTATACCTACTTTAATACATTATACAAACTTTCTCACAGTTTTTTCAAGTCTTGCTAGTCGTTACTCTAATTAAAATGTTTGCCATTTTAGATGGGTGGGCACAAAATGGGCGATCTCTCTATCGTTCATCGCGTATATGCCGTATATTGCTGCCCAGCTGTACCCTCGGTTCTGGACCCTGATCCCAGCAGGTCTGATGGTGGGCTTCGGAGGAGGACCGCTTTGGTGTGCCAAGTGCACCTATTTGTCAGTGGTGAGTACCGAAGTGGAAAGGAAATCTTAAATCATCAAGATGGTTAGGTTCGAAAGTATAATGTACTGGGGCGTTACTTTGGCAAATCAGTCGGCTTGAACATAGACTTGTGGTAACAAACTAGTGTAGTACTTAAGATACAATAATTTTAGCAGTGTAAGTACTAGCCGATGGAATCGTGTGACCTTTAAGGGTTACCTTAGCAACCTTAGCAGTAAATGTGTGCATAAGTGACACGTATCTAAGGCAATACCATGTTGCCAATATTATAACCAATCATAATTTATCGATATGTAAGTAAGATACAATGTAGACATCGCGTGTGTGACAAGTTATAAAATAAAAAGTATTTCGTAATTATGTTGTAATTGCTTTCCATTAAAATTACTATGTATTTCATACTTTTCTAGTTTAATAATATACTAAGTTTCCAAGATCACGCCTAGTTATTTAAGAGCCTATGAAAATAATACAATCGATAATTTTCTCACATTCATATAATTTTCAGGTTTCCGAAGCCCAAAGCAAAATTTCAAATATATCCGCCGATGTGTTGTTGACCCGGTTTTTTGGATTATTCTTTATGATATTCCAAATGAATCAAGTGTGGGGTAACCTCATTTCTTCTTTAGGTAAGAAATATTTTGTAAGACATCGACTATTTTGTATTATTAAGGTACAGTACACAGGCGTTTATTTTTCCGCTCCTTGGGGGGGTTAAGTTTTCAGGAACGGGACTATTCCCACCTCTCGTTCCCACCACTGCAACTCCTGTGTAGCCAGGATCTACAGCTTGACCGCCACAAAAACCCAACCAATGAAGGTCAAGTTTGTCCCGGGGGAAAGTTAAACTGTCATTGGACCCGCAACGAAATTAATCAGAAGAACATAGGAGGAGTTCGAAATTAAGGTTCGACTTCCCTCCATTGCAAAGCGGATGACAGGTGACAAACAAAGGTTTAAAACCTTTAAGAAAAAGATTATGCACCACGGACAATAAATTAAATTAAGGGGGCCTATCTTATGAGCAATTAGCAACTACCTGCCAATAATATTTTTCACAAAATCGCTTAAAAGCACGGAAATTTTTCCTTGTCGCGACAAGATCGGTGTAATAAATTGCGGAAACAGATGTATGTTGTATTGAATTAAGCATTATATCACGTTCATGTTTCCAAAGATCACACTCCCACAAGATATGATGGGCNAAAATACAAACGAGGCGATAAATAGACAGAATAACTTACAGTTTCCGTAGTTCGTGTCACATACAAACCGATTATTACACTCACAAACACTTATAAGCGATTTATCTATTTTTATAAGCAAAAACTCCCGAGAGCTCCGTACGCTAGCACTACACCGTGCGGGGCGGGGGGGGGGGAAGGTTTTCAGGAGCGGACAGACGGCTGAAATGATGATTCAAAGGTGCTTATTAGGAAACGTACCAGCCATTATATTTTGTGCAATAATCTTTTGTGCCTGCCTTTCCACCTAGATACTCCATAAATACAGATAGAGCTGGTCTCTGCATCCTATAGCAATACGTACTATCTTTTGTTTTTTTTTTCAAAATATACCTTAGTTTAGTAATATACATGCCAAGTATTGTTCTTATTGTACGAGTACGACTTATCCTATGTCTCCAGTACTGACAGCTGGTGACAACGAAGCAGCAGTGACTGCGGTGAATGCGAGCATGATTCCGGAGCTATGTGGCGCCAACTTCCTCCCGGCAGCTGATGCTGGAGAGGCCCTGCGTCCTCAACCGCCTGAGAGGATGCAGCTGATGATCGGTCAGTACTTTGTAGGTAGATTAAAGCTATTTTAGTTTTTAATTATGTGGGTTGTAGCAGCCGGCAAAAAACACAATATGGTCTAGAACTCCTCCCAAAAAGACGTGCTTGATTGAAAAATCTCTAGAGATTAGAGCATTACTTGATCAGGCCTCGGAGTCGTCTTTCGTAACTGAAGAAACAGTACGAAGACTTGGGTTGAAAAAGACTCCAATTAAAGAGCGCTTGTCAGGAATAGGTGGGGATAGTTTAGTATCCGAGGCTTTTGTTGACTTGGAGATTAGTTCAAGGATCCATCCAGGGGAGAATTTAGGGGTGAGAGCTTATGTTTTAAAGTCAATAACCTCTTTATTACCATCCCATAAAATAGAACCTGTGCAATGGGCTGAAAATATGAATTTGCCATTGGCAGATCCTGGCTATCACACGCCAAATCGTGTCGATTTGTTATTGGGAGTAGATATGTTTAGTCAAGTCTTGCTAGAGGGAGTTAGGAAAGGTCCAAGCGGTACCCCTGTTGCACAAGAGACATTGTTTGGGTGGATTTTATCGGGAAATTGTACAAAGTCAACAAACAGAAATTTTAGGGCTAAAGTTAGATATAAGGATAGTAGTNTTCGAGAAAAGGATGGTACGGCCGTGCCGCTTTTTTGCTCGACTTGGTGGGGGCACTGCCGTGCCCCCAGATCTCAAAACCTGTTTGTTGAAGTTAACTTCCAACATCGATTCAGATAGTACTCCGCAAGTTGTTCTGGGGAAAAGTAGTCAACTTGAATTGCCCAAAATTATTATTCCATCATTTTCGGGGAAATATTCGGAATGGCCCACATTTTGCGATTTATTTAGTTCTTTGGTGCATTGCAATGAGGATTTGACAAAGGTACAGAAGTTCCATTATCTAAAGAGCTACCTTACAGGAGAAGCAGAACAACTTGTGAAGCACATATAGATGACCCACGCTGAACTGTCCCACCAAACTCAATGACAGGGGGGCGCTACCATCGTTCAACTATATGGATTCCAATATGGCAAAAATCTGAACCAGCGATCCGGTATTGACGGTGGCGCCCCACTGTCAATGTCATCGACAGGACAGTCCAGTATTTTGGAACTATATCTATAGCGGAATGTAATTATGATAGGTGTTGGCAATTGTTAGAGGAACGTTATAACAATAAGAAATTCATTTGCCAGCAAACATTAAATCGGTTTTTTAGTCAGAAAAATATTGTAAAGGAGTCAGCACATGCGCTGAAGGAATTAATTGACACAACTAATTATTGCTTGGCTACTTTGATGAATCTTGATGTAAATGTAGATAGTTGGGATGTAGTTCTTGTTCATGTTTTGACATCGAAGTTGGATACTGAATCTAGACGTCAGTGGGAGTTCATGATTTCGGAAACTAATACATCAGATGAACTGCCGACTTATGATCATTTTAAAGATTTTCTAACGAATCGTTACAGGGCATTGGAGTTTCTAGATTCAAAATCCACTTCGGTAAATGTAAATAATGTACATAATAGAACTACTAAGTCTATGCATATTGTAAAAAATGTGCAATGTCCGTTTTGTACGGAAGGAGGGCATAAACTTAGGTTTTGCAAAGAATTTGCAAGGGAGGCGGTGGAGTCTCGTCGGGAATTTGTTTTAAATAACAATGTATGTTTTAATTGTTTAGGACACAATCATTCTGCCAAATTCTGTAAATATGTAACTAAATGCCGAATCTGCAAACGCAGACATCATTATCTGTTGCACCCTCGAGGTAATGTCCATAGAGGTGTAGGAAATAGAAATGCAAGGGAGGAAGTTAAAAGTTCTGGGTCTTGTTTGTCGACAGGAAATAATAATCAAGTTTTACTGCCGACTGCGGTAGTTAAAGCTATGTCGACCAAGAAGGATAGCATAGAGATTAGAGCATTACTTGATCAGGCCTCGGAGTCGTCTTTCGTAACTGAAGAAACAGTACGAAGACTTGGGTTGAAAAAGACTCCAATCAAAGAGCGCTTGTCAGGAATAGGTGGGGATAGTTTAGTATCCGAGGCTTTTGTTGACTTGGAGATTAGTTCAAAGATTCATCCAGGGGAGAATTTAGGGGTGAGAGCTTATGTTTTAAAGTCAATAACTTCTCTATTACCATCCCATAAGATAAAACCTGTGCAATGGGCTGAGAGTATGAATTTGCCGTTGGCAGATCCTGGCTATCACACGTCAAATGGTATCGATTTGCTATTGGGAGTAGATGTGTTTAGACACAAGAGACATTGTTTGGGTGGATTCTATCGGGAAATTGTACAAAGTCAACAAACAGAAATTTTAGGGCTAAGGTTAGATATAAGGATAGTAGTAAGGTTAGAAGGCAGACTGATTGAAGTAATATAAAATGTTTAACATGTCAGGGTTATCGTTCAAAATTATTATGCCTTCTTTCTTGAGTTTTAAGTGTTTATAATGGGCGATTGTCATGGTGGGCGATGTAGTGAAGGACGAAGCTTAGCTCGTCCTTGGTGGGCGATTATGTTAGAGTTAGTGTAAAGTTCGTTCATTGTCCTATCACTAGATGGCACCACATGCTGTTTGTGTTTAAGTTTACATAGTTTTACCAATAGATGACACTTGTATTTTATGTGCAAAATATTAGCCCGCGGTGTCCAGATTTTTTGCCCGGCCTCTAAATATAACCGGGACGCAATAAAGCATTGAATTCAGTTGACCTCAAGACAGTGTTTCATTCACTAGTATTTAGTAGTACCCAGTCAGTGGTAGGTAGGAGTGAGTGATAGCGCCTAGGAAGTGCGCAGGTTGAGGGAATTCCACCCTCCTCTATGGGAGGGTTAAACAANAGAGTTAGTGTAAAGTTTGTTCATTGTCCTATCACTAGATGGCACCACATGCTATGTTTGTGTTTAAGTTTACATAGTTTTACCAATAGATGACACTTGTATTTTATGTGCAAAATATTAGCCCGCGGTGTCCAGATTTTTTGCCCGGCCTTTAAATATAACCGGGACGCAATAAAGCATTAGTAGTTAGTAGTACCCAGTCAGTGGTAGGTAGGAGTGAGTGATAGCGCCTAGGAAGTGCGCAGGGTGAGGGAATTCCACCCTCCTCTATGGGAGGGTTAAAAAATCTCTATAAAAACAAATCCTTTTCAAGAGGTACGTACGTCACAGTCACATACTAGGCCTCCATTGAATTAAAAAAGCCGCTTAGCTGAAATTAAAACAGCCATTGTCAGCTACAAGGTCGCTACAATTTTGGAAAACTGTGAATTTTCCGCGATGCATGCGATGATTTTGAATCTGATTTCAAAGAACTTATATTTATGTAGAATCTTCTGCAAAAGGGTGCTTCTGAATCGCCTCTTCGGCTTTCTGCTTACCAAAGAGGAATGACTTGGTATATAGAAAATTATAATGCCAAAATGATCAAAATATCACCAGAAAAGCGCGTGTTTTGTTAATTTAACTTATGTTGGGCAATTGATGGTTATTTAATTGAAAAGTGATAGACGACAAAGTCGTATTAGTTCCGAAGTCTAAATTAAGATAATAACTTATGTTAATAACATTTTTTCTTCCCAGTACAGATACATCGACCATGTATATGTCAAGTGGATTGCTTGATTACACTTTACCTGTCTAGACATTATTTATGTGATGCTTTAAAGGTGTGTTTACAAATGAGATAATGACTAAATTTCCTTTTGCGGGTTCCTTTTTCCTTCCATAAAAAACCTTGAGGAGGCGGATGCAAGAAAGTAATTTCTTAATTAGTTTAGGTAGAATAACTTTTCTTATACAAATATAGGTACAGATATTATGAGACGCGAAAGTTGGTTCGATTTCTCAAAGATCTAATAGCATTACTCTTAACGCTGTATTGTGAATTTAGTACACATTTTATTAAATAACTAAGGTAGGTATATAATCAGGACACATATTGGCTTGAATTTACACGCAAATATCAACAGTAACAATAGCAGTTTATGAAGATACTTTTATACCGTAAACTTTCATAATTTCAGGTATTTATTTGGCGTGCATGGCTGGCGCCGCCATTATCATCGCCATTGGAGTTGATTCTATGAAAAGGTAAAAGTTTTCTTCTTCTATCGTTTAGGTTTTAGTATTTAGTTGGTGTCAGAAATACAATGAGCTGACCGCATATGACATGCGTAGAGTGTTTCCTATACCACAGAATAATATTAAGTACTACTGGTACAAACGTCAGTACTCGGTACTGCGCCGAAGCCATATTAAAGGGCTGACTTCGGTAAAATGATGTGTGACATGAGGTGCCAAACTGCAGAAAATGTGGGAGGAAATACAATATGATTATGCATGAATTATCATGAATAATATTAACCACTTATTTACCTCTCAGTGTCTCCAGGCAACTTAAAAAAGTACATTCTGTGTTTTTATTATTATTTAATCAGTTAAATACTGCACAGTATTTAATACATAATTTTCTTTATATTTTCCATCATACATAAGAATACGCGTGCGTGAGTCAATGCTCGCTCGTAATCAATGTGAGGCCTTGTCGAATAGTAATCCTGTAGGGTGCCATCGTGCTTGTTTTGTTTTCGATGTAAACTCGCGGAGATGAACAGGCCTGCCTATACCATGACACTTACCTTCTATGCCTAGATTAATAACACCTATGTATACCTACAGCCTACTAGACAAAGTCTCGAAATTTCATGACACTTTAACATAGAGAAGAACCTGATAAATCTATTTATTTGATAATAATGGTTTCTTTCAGGTACAATACCGGTCGATCGGCGACTGGATCTGGTCTCTCGGGGATGGCGTTACTGGCAGTCACCCTGAAGCTGCTGGTTGAGCCTAACCAGCTCATGTTGGTGCTCCTCAACACCTTCGTGGGATACCAGCAAGCGTTCTTTGGCGCTGACTTCAGTGCGGTCAGTGAAAGCTAAAGTTTTGAAAGGCGCTTTATACCGAATCAAATTCAAATTCTTTATAGTAGGTCCTTTTGTCACAAGTGCCTCAAACTTGCCTTGCTTGAATCGCCGCTGACATACGCTGGCAGATGGATTTCAACGATATAATTTGCATAATTTGCGAAAGATGTCCACTGCTGGACAAACGCCTCCCTCAATGATTTCCATAGACCGGTCAAGCCCCCAACTCACATCGATCGTCGGTCTATCTTTCATCGACTTCTCTATAGAGCGTTGAAACCTTAACTTAATGTTAATAGCAATATTTCTCACACTATTATGTCATTGTTATGATTTTTCCAGGCGTTTATATCGTGTGCAGTCGGAACTGGGACAGTTGGCTTCGTGATGATGACCATGGGGGTGGCTGATGCCATTGGCTGTGTCGTCACTGGATATATTGCGAAGGTACCTAAATATATCCAGAATAATCTTAGGATGTGGGAATCATAATTTATTTATTTATAAGCAGCTTGATGCTTACAGAGATTCCAACTCATACATCTAAATGTATCTATGTTCCCCAATCTGCATCTACTCGTAGTTTATGAATTTAAGTAGATAGATCATAAATAAAAGAAAGATGTTGCCAGAGGTTTCTACGCTATACATATACCAGTATACTTATTGTGTGCATTTATTGCAATGGGCATCGCTATTGGGACAAGATGGCACTGCTTATCGGTACCTACACTTTTTCTTTGTGCGAATGATGTCCATTGTAGTAAACGCTTCTTTCTTTCTTTGGTGCTAATGGTTGATTTAACCTACCAACTTTTTAGATCACGGGTCGTGTGCCACTGATGTGCTGTGCAGCGGTTCTTCACACGATGCTCTTCACCACCATGCTAGTGTGGAGGCCTCACGAGGGCCAGAGCCACATCCTCTACATCATTGCTATCCTCTGGGGTATCTGCGACTCTGTGTGGCTCGTGCAGCTGAATGGTAAGAGTAATTAAATAACTTTTGAGGTACATACTTGATGATAAAGGTGATGTTCTCTGGTTATGTTAATTAGGGACATAGGATAGCCATTTTATATCTTTCACAACAACCTGCCCTTTTTTAGGTGGCACTAAAGTGTCGGGTTGGATTTCTCTCACACTTAACCGTGTTATTGTATTATTTATCTACCTATCTACTAAAATAGTTTGCGTGTGACGTTCAGGTAGATTTTGGACTGTCGCGATGTCGTAGATATTCTTCATCGGGAGTCCCAAGGATCCCTCTAATTTCCAGTTTTATTCATAAAAGTTCACACCGACTGGTTACAATAGTTTCAAACAAAAAATCAAAAGGTACTTTTTGACTTACCTGCAATTTTCGTTGGTCCAAAATTCATAATCTCGTAACTCTATTTTAACATGGAAACGAGCAAGTATCTTACCTAATTTGTTTTTTTACGTTTTTAATTTTTCCAGCATACTACGGCATTCTGTTCCCCGGCAGAGAAGAGGCAGCTTTCGCGAATTTCAGGCTCTGGGAATCAGTCGGCTACATCATTGCTTACGTCATCTCTCCCTACCTGAGGACCAGCGAGAAGACCTACCTCATGTTCACCATGATGATCGTGGGGGTCTCTATGTACTTCACAGTGGAGTACAGGGAGAGAAGAGGAAAGAACGAACTGGATATGAAGAGTCGAGAACTATGCTGTGATAAAGGATTGGATAATGCTGCGTATAGAAGCGTAGAATGATAGATGTATTTTCTGAATTTATGAATTTATGGCAATGTCTAATCTATCTCCAGAGTACCTTGATAGCAATTACATTTACGCCCGTATTCACAAACGATGCTTTCTTAAGTGAAGCAGCAAATCGAACGCACAGCGTTGAATAGAGCTCGGTAACTGGTTCATACGACATCGTAAAGGTAGCAGGGAAGCGCTGGACGCAGGCCGCTACCAATTGATCAACATGGAAAGCATTGGGGGAGGCCTATGTTCAGCAGTGGACGTCCTATGGCTGAAATGATGATGATGATGATGAACTGGTTCATGTGTCACCCTGTGCGTCCACGCGCACTGTGAGAACTCATAGTAATGTTTGTGAATACGGGCGTTAGTTTAAAATAGTATTGATTACTTATGGGTCCGTTCTTCAAAGAAGAAATTGAACCTTTTATGTAGGATCATTGATATTTAGTTCTATATCTAGCGCCTAACTCAGTCTGTGCCCGAGGTATGGAAGCGGCACGGGAGGGTGTTTTTGGCACGTCAAACGTCAGCGATACTTCTTCTTCTTCTTCTTTTATTAATGGCGATGAACTTGTGTATTTTCGCCACAAGGCACACTGTTCCGCCAATATCACGTGCGCAGCTTTTACACAATGTAGGTATTTGAGAAATTTAAATTCAAAGGTATGCTAAGCAAAATACCTAAAACAAGGAGACATCACAAATAAGACAATACAATACATAAAAATAACACATACGAGTGAACACAAATGGGGAGGTTTAGTTTGGAAAAAGTTTACTGCCAACTCTTGCTTGTTATAGATGACCCACGCTGAACTGTCCCACCAAACTCAATGACAGGGGGGCGCTACCATCGTTCAACTATATGGTTTCCAATATGGCAAAAATCTGAACCAGCGATCCGGTATTGACGGTGGCGCCCCACTGTCAATGTCATCGACAGGACAGTCCAGTATTTTGGAACTATAGATATGCTTCAGATTTGTATGCTCTGTCACGTCACGTCATTAATGTCAATGTCACCTCTCCCGTGCGGCTTAACTCGGGCACAGACTGAGTAAGCGCTAAATCTACAGTAGTTTATTGATGTAAATAAAAAATATGTGTGTATGGCAGCCAGATTAAGTACTATTCTGTGATTTTGTTGATGTTAACATAATTTAGGATATCGTTATAATAATTAGTTAATAATAGATAACTTGTTCGTTAATGCATTATGTCTATGTAAAAGTATCGGATGTTTTATTCAAATGTCAAACACTGACCATGAGACAAATATAAAACTTGCAAATAATGTTTGATTCCCAAATTCTAAATATTTGTTGTGTTGTGCCATTTTCGTTGTTGATACGCAATATAACAGCTCTATGTGATAAGAGACGCTACATTTTGTATGATTTTTTCGTTTATTTGTATACTGTACTTTGAGTCCCTTAATTTAACAATTACGGCGTATTGGTAGGTAGGTACCCAATTTTATGTTATTTACCTAAATCAAGGACTAATACATAGTTATTGTAAATACATTAGTGATATGTAAATACATTTTTAATAAACTTTTTAAAAGGAAAATGCTTTTAATTTGCATTATGTTAAAAAATGCTAGAGTATCTTACCCATATACGACACATATTGGAGGTAAAGTCAAATTCACATGATTTTTGCTAGGAATAAGAAATAAAAGATAAGTTGTGAATAAACATTTTGGAAGCCTATTGAGAGGAAAGATAGAGATATCTTAATTATTCTGTCTTAATTACCATAAATGATTAACATGTGTTAAAAAATATATTTTTTATTTTTTCCTTGAATTTCTGCTATATTTTCGTTTTTGAACTTAGGACTGGACTCAACCGATGATATTGCCTAAATTTCTGTGTGACATAAGTCAAGACCAAACATTCGGCCAAAAAAAATTCATTCATCACATTCGTCTTGAAAAATTGGTTCCAAAAATGGTCATAAATTCAAGGTCTGGGTAATCGTCAAGGTGTGTTACAGATATTGCACGTTGTAAGGAAAACGTGAGACGAAGTCGTTCAGTTGTTAACACACGTTCGGACGCGGCGTGTGCGCATCGCTGACGTCTGAAAACGTGCATGCGCGGAAAATAGGCGCGTTTAGGCTATTTCAAGCCTTATTTTGGACAGTAAGTTGTTGATATTTCGATCCTGTTGCAATTGCAATTGGTATCTAATTTGATTGGATATAAAAACTTGGAAATAAAAGATATCGCATAATCCAAGTGAAGAATAGTGTACACAAGTGAATACTTTTCCTTTAACTACGTAAACAAATAATGTCGAAGTAGGTACCTACATATAAAAATACCAGGTAATTTCAAGATAATCGTTGTACTTGAGCTTTGTTAGCCTTCTTTAACAGAGTAGTTTTTGTTTAATTTTATTTATTTGCAACTTGACTATGAATCCCGGTCCCGAATATCTTTGCGAACATTCATGAACTTTAACAGAATTTTTAAAAAAGTTATTAAATACTCTATCTAATATTATGTATTTGTAAATTGAATCTCCTAAACTAGCAAGTTAGTTTACTTATGTTACCTCAAAGTAGTTCTTAATTACAATACCTATTAGTAGGTTGTTAACTTTTCTGTAATGATGTTTCGATACACGAGCCATACAACTTCTCAAAACACGAAAATGTATTCAAAAGAAAAATCGCCTAGTGCGATTCGGACTTGTGCTAGGGTTCCGTATCCTCACTCATCACTTAGTATCTCTTTCCCACTCCTTGCCTTTTAAATTGCATCGCATACATATTTTTTTACCAATTTTCGTTACGTAAAAGTTCATCATCATCATCATCATCTCAGCCATAGGACGTCCACTGCTGAACATAGGCCTCCCCCAATGCTTTCCATGTTGCCCGGTTGGTAGCGGCCTGCGTCCAGCGCCTTCCTGCTAAGTACCTTTGTGATGTGTCGTCGGTCCACGAACAAAATTAGCTGGTTAGCTGGGAGAGAATGCCACATGGCATTAAGTTCGCCGTTTTGTACTGCTTTTTTGTGTGTGCAATAAAGTTTTTTAAGTAAATAAATAAATACATAACTTTATCTTATTGCCTACATTGGGTTTTTAGGTCCAAACATAATCGGCAGACATATCTTCCAGAACATCTTTCAATTTGCGCCATTTTTATCAGGGACCTTTCAGCATGGGTTTGGGTTCTTATAAGACCATTTTCACGTCACCTTCCTCGCTAATGAGAACTTGTACGTAATTTAAATCATGAATAAATGATTTTTTGGTTTGTGTCTTTGAAAACACTTGGTATAAAAACGGAACAAATAGGCTATTCATTCTGTAATCATTTTGTCGCGCATCTTTACTGGTTTTCCTTTTATTTTTTGTCTTAAGTTTCTTCAGAACACATACAAGATAATAAGAAACCGGTTAGTACCTATTTTAAATGAGTTAGTCAACAATTAAAGTTTAACCTTAATTAACCCAAAACTAAAATTTTAATGGCATACAATTAGAAGCTTAACGAAACAGATAACAAGGGCAGTGACTGTCTGTGCTAGTATTAGTTTAGTTTATGAATTAAATCTACTGTGAGATATAAACAAAGATTATAACAAGACAAGTTTGATTAAAATATATTGTGAAGATAATACAGGTCCATTCCTAGTGCGAGAACCGCTACCAACACCTCTATGTAACAATTCACTATACTATAGCATGTATTTAGCTTAATACAAGACTGTCATTCCACTTTGGTAAATCTTTCTTGCTAAAGATTTAATTTATTTTTATTTATTTTAATAAGACAAGTTGTAGAGTAGGTGATAATGACGATCAAAGACGACAAACCAACGGAGTTCGGGCCACGGGAGAAATGGAGGATCCTCAAGAATGTGCTGCTCATCAGCTTCGCTTTTATGGCCGAATTCACAGCATACAGTGTAAGTATGGCTATTTTTTTTCAACAATTCGAGTGTCTCGGTGAACAAATAATTTATTTAAAATCTTTTTTTGAACTTGAAAAACATAGGTTGTTTCTAAGCTCTTCTTTTTGAAGGTCAGATGAGAAGATTTTATTTTTATTTATACTTTTAAAGTTCATTTTAGATACTACTCGTAGTATAACAATACTAGTACTGGAAAAAGAATATAAATATACTCGTAGTATGAGTATGAACTCCAGGTACTTCATGGCAGTTTAGCAAATGAAACGCTATATTATCTATATAAGTATCCAGTGAAAATAGCTAAGTATTTTCACTGGATACTTAGATGCTTTAATTTGCTTAAATGTTTTTAATTACTTTTTTGCGCAGGGTGCAGCCAACTTACAAAGTTCCATCAACTCCCAAGCTGGTCTTGGAACGGCGTCTCTGACTGCCGTATACGCTGGCCTCATCTTCTCTACTATATTCTTACCAGTTATGGTTATAAAGTGAGTTAAAATGATTTCGATCTTAAGTTTTGCAGTCTCAGACCAATACCGAGAATGACGCCCGTATTCACAAACGATGCTTGCTTAAGTAAAGCAGCAAATCCAACGCACAGCGTTGAATAGAGCTCTGTAATTGATTCGTGTGTCACCCTGTGTTTCAACGCACACTGTGAGACCTCATAGTAATGTTTGTGAATACGGGCGAGAGTCTATAAGATTTAGGTAGCTTTTTTACGATTTCCTCAGTGTGACAGGATTTTTGTACTTTTTTCCTCTGAGCAAAAAGTACCCACGAGCTAGTCTAAGGAAGTTTGTGGGGACTTTTTTAGAAGTACCACTTAACCTTCGCAATGCCTTACCTGTGCAGGGGAAGCCTTGATCTATAAGTATTTAATGTGTCGTTTGTTTTTACAGATGGCTTGGTCCAAAATGGGCGATATCGTTATCGTTCGTCACGTATATGCCCTATATTGCTGCCCAGATGTACCCCAGTTTCTGGACCCTGATCCCTGCCGCCCTCCTATTAGGGTTAGGGGGAGGACCGCTCTGGTGTTCTAAGTGCACTTATTTGTCCATGGTAAGACCATCTAAATGGTAATTTATAAATGAGCATGTTTGTCCTTTCTTACCTTCAAAGAAAAAATCTTGTTATAATCCAGTTTACCATTTATAGGCCGTCTGTCCATAAACGAGGTTCTATGTATTCAGATAAGAGGTTGGGATAAATGCTTCTGTTTTAAGTAATTTAATGCATCTATGGGCTGGAAGACGTAGCGTGGGCAGACCTCCTACTAGGTGGACCGACGATCTGGTAAAGGTCGCGGGAAGAGCCTGGATGCGGGCAGCGCAGGACCGTTAATTGTGGAAAACCTTGGGGGAGGCCTTTGTCCAGCAGCGGACGTCATTTAACAATCAATAATAATACAATTAACCACGTTTCAGATTGCTGAAGCACACAGCAAAATCTCAAATATATCTGCAGAAGCGTTGTTGACGCGTTACCTTGGACTATTCTTTATGATATACCAAATGAGCCAAGTATGGGGAAACCTTATTTCATCTCTGGGTAAGAGAAAACACATTGTAACTAATTAATCTGTTATTTCTTTTTTTAGTACGTTTTTTAAATGCACCATTCTTCTTTGCATTTTACACTTTAATACAGCACTATACAAGTACTGTCGCTCCAACTTATTACATTTCAAGATAGATAAAACAATCCAACTGCGAGTTTCACAAGCCTTTTTCACCTGAGGATCAAAACTGAAAAAAGTTTTGTATGAAGTAGCGAGCTTCTGCTACTGAAGTTTATGAAAGACCCGATCATTCAGATTTTTTTCTTGATGCTATAATGATATACTTAACCCCTCTTTCCCCAGTGCTGACAGCTGGCGACAATGAAGCAGCAGTGACAGCGGTGAACGCCAGCATGATCCCGGAGGTGTGCGGCGCCAACTTTCTTCCAGCAGCTGATGCGGGCCACGCCTTCCGCCAGCAACCGCCTGAGAGGATACAGATGATGATCGGTCAGTACTTTAAGCCCTGATTTGGGTTGCCAGATTGTGACCCTATTGTTGAGAGAAAAACAATGGGTCGGGATTTTGAGACTTAAGAGATTTTTTACTTTGTCGGGAGTCGGGAGGACATATCCAAAAATTCGGAAGAATCCTACCAAATCCCAACCATTTGGCAACTCTAACTTTGATAGATCTATAAGAGATTGCTGCATACTTACTGCTCAGTAATTATACCTTCTGAAAACTTCCAAAAAGAACCTAACTAGAATAAAATTAAGACTATTTCAAAGATCTTAGAAGAACTTGTAGCAGCAGCAGCAGAGACGAAAGCATCATGCTGTAACATAGCAAATACTACCCCTAAACCATAAAACCATAAGATATCATAGTGTTTAGCTTGATGTGCTATTGTCTCTACTATGATTACTAGATAGAGGTGATCATTACGCTCTTGCATGCTATTTTTTTTTTGCAAATAACACTTGTCAACTATATCCGCGAAATAAGTCTAATAATAGGTATGTTAGTTATTGTTGCCCATGCAGAACTAAATATTTAAAAGGTGTGTATAATTTACCATCGGACATGGTACACCACTCGGCTTATACTCGTAATTTCAAGGTGTCAAACTGATTTAATGCAGAATTTTTATGTACCAAATCCAAATACATACTAGTTATTGCAATTTGTGACCTTTATTTTTATTTTATTTATTTAATAGGACAACCAACAAGACATACACTGGAAGACAATCAATATTTACAACGTATTTAACTTAATCTAAGTTAACCTTTGTTTGTAATATCTTCTATCCTTTGATGCATATTTTCAGGTATTTACTTGGCGTGCATGGCTGGTGCTGCGATCACTGTCGCTGTAGGAGTAGATTCTATGAAAAGGTATTAAAGTTGTATTAGGTACGATACCTACTTACATCCACTACTAAGCGTAACAATCTAGAAAAAGTAGATTTCTATTTACTTAACGTATTTATGTTGCATTATACCCCGCCGAGACTGAGCACCGATGTGACTGAAAAAAAAAAACAACAACAACTTGTTAGTATAATTGACACTTTCTATTGGAGCTATTGTAGTATCTATTCTTTTTTTCTAGGTATGACACAGGTCGGTCATCGGCGAGTAAGAGTTTGTCCGGGATGTCGCTGCTGGTGGTAACGGCTAAGCTGCTGGTGGAACCCAACCAGCTGCTGTTGGTCCTCCTCAACACTTTCGTTGGGTTCCAGCTGGCGTTCTTCACTGCAGATTTTACTGCGGTCAGTATGATGTTAGGATGTAACTTCAATACAAAAGTAGGGAAACTTAAAATCTCTCATCAGCCCAGCCTATGCTTGTTAGCTTTTTCTATCTGAAGATAAAATATCTCCTTCCTGCCTTTTAAATATTTAAATTGTGTTTTTTCAGTTAACCGACCCAACCTTAGAAAAACTGATAAACTACGTTTACCAAGTCTAATAATATGTACGTGCCCCCAGATAGACCAACGATTTTGAAACGTCAAGTGGCAAAAATCAAAAACTATGTATTATCAAGTTCAGTTTCATAAAAATTTCATTTTCGTTACGAATTCAATCTGTTGATTGTCACATAATCCTAATTTTACATGTACTCATATTACTTACAGCCTTTGATATTTACCACCTAATCAAAGCTCATAGCGATAAAATCAAAGTTTATTTAATCTCAGGCGTTCGTCTCGTGTGCTGTTGGTACCGGGATTGTGGGCTTCGTGACTATGACACTGGGACTGGCGAATGCCATTAGCTGTGCTGTCACTGGATATATTGCGAAGGTATGTCAAGCTTCAGGTGAATTGGTGAATCTACCACTAAGCACTGAGCTTTACTTAGTGCTTAGTGGTAGAAGCGTGCTCGCGTGCACGGGTAACATTTGTCACCTTTACAGATGTCTCTCCATAGATAACAATAAGTATTATACATAATGTATAGTCGCTCTTTTTCTCTTTATAAAAGTGTAAAAGATAAAGATAAACTGTTACCGTGACAAAAAGTCACCCGTGCGCGCGCGATAAGTGAGAAACTTAGTAAAAAAAACATAACCCTCCTTCTGTCGCAGTCGGATAATAACGCGCCGCTCCGCTATAGAGGGTCTGAAGGCGTATTTTAAGTAATCTTATTACCTTTTCTAAACAACTGTCATCTAGGTTGTCTAGAAGAGATCACTTTATAGCGATAAGACCGCCAAAACCGGCCAAGTGCGAGTCGGACTCGCGCACCGAGGGTTCCGTACAAACCTGCAAGGTTTACAAAGTTCGTTCATTACGACAATCGAGTCATAACTATGTTTTTTTTTTCACGGGTTAAAGGCAATTAGATCTAAGTATTTGATATGAATTTCAACTTGATAGCTCTACGCGTTCATGAGGAAAAAAGTAATAAGTTTATATTTATTAAAAAATATATATTTTTGTAATGTAACTAAAAATTTAAGGTTTTCGGAATTTTTCCTTTATGTGTGCTATAAAACGTTGCTTCATGCCAAATTTCAAGATTCTAGGTCGACTGGAAGTACCCTTTAGGTTTTGATTCCCTTGCGAGTACTTGCGAGTTTCAAAATATGCAGCTTAAATTGCTGTTTCTTTTGATTGCGTTGACATAGAAGTTTGATTTTGTTACAGCTTAAAGGTATTATAGACTTAAGTATTTGGTNAAAATATATATTATGTGATGTAACTAAAAATTTATGGTTTTCGTAATTTTTCCTTTATCTATGCTATAAGACGTTGCTTCGTACCAAATTTCAAGATTCTGAGTTCACGGGAAGCACCCTGTAGGTTTTGATTCCCTTGCAAGTGTCGAAAATTTGCGGCATAAACGGCTGTATCTTTTGATTGCGTTGGCTTAGAAGTTTGATTTTTTCACAGCTTCAAGGGACAGTAGACCTGAGTAATTGATATAAATTTCAGCTTCATACCTCCACGCGTTCCTGAGAAAAAGGGTCTTGACAGACGGACGGACAGACGGACAACAAAGTGATCCTATAAGGGTTCCGTTTTTTCCTTTTGAGGTACGGAACCCTAAAAAGTGCCATATCTTTTGTGTATTTCTTTCTTTTCTTCTCTTGGTGGACAATAAAATGTGTTCTATCCATCTCCCTCAATGTCAGAACTTCATGATTAAAATTTTCTTGTCTCTAGATCACGGGACGTGTCCCACTGATATGCTGTGCAACACTGGTCCACACTGCGATCTTCGTCACCTTCCTAGCTTGGAAGCCTCAGGAGGGCCAGAGCTATATCCTCTTCATCATTGCCGTATTGTGGGGCTTCTGTGACTCGGTGTGGCTGGTGCAGTTGAATGGTAAGAGTTTGACTTAAATACTGCTTATGTAAAGTTTTATCGAAAATATTTGAATTATTAAATTAAAGATATCGACTTTCTTTTTACTTCTACATCTGAATTGACGTAGTACGCCTGAAAAGTAGGTCCTCTTTACCTAATTAAAGGCAGATTTTTCAATAGTCGGATAACTTTTATCTGAAGAATAAGGCTGAGTTGCACCACCTAACTTTGACCGTAACTATAACGATAACCGGTGTTTTTTGTATGGAGTTTGACAGATTTTTGACGTTTGTCAAAGTTAAAGTAAGATGATGCAACCCAGCCTCAGTTTGGCATATTGACAGTTTCAGTATGGGAAACAAGTTAAAATGACAAGTTTATTTTTCAGTTAAAAGTTGTCTGACGATTGAAAAATCAAGCCTTGAAAACATAATCTCGCGAAAGTTTTAAAATCTAAATTCAGGGTACAGTAGAAACGACTCTACTAAATGACAATGTTATTTGATATTTTTTCTTTCTTTCGTTTTCTTTTTCTTCTTGCTTTAAAACTAAATGTTTGAATCTCGTTGATATGATTCTTTTTTATTCTTTTCAGCGTACTACGGCATCCTCTTTCCCGGCAGAGAAGAGGCATCCTTCGCAAGCTTCAGGCTCTGGGAGTCGGTCGGTCACATCATAGGGTACATCATCTCCCCTTATATGAGGACCAGCCAGAAGACCTACTTATTACTGGCGATGATGCTAGTGGGAGCCACTATGTACTTCAGCGTGGAGTACAAGGAGAGAAGACGAAAGAAGTTAGAAGTTCACAGCAAAGAGGATAAGGGAGTGGATAATGCTGTGTTTAAGATCGCAGAGTGATTTGATGTTTATTTTGACTTAGTCCTAAGAATATAGGTAACTAGCGGCCACCCGCGACTTCGTAAGCGTGGATCCCGTTTTACCCCCTTAGGGGTGGAGTTTCGTAAAATCCTTTTTTAGCGGATGCCTACGTCATAACATCTACCTGCATGTCAAATTTCAGCCCGATCCGTCCAGTGGTTTGGGCTGTGCGTTGATAGATCACTATATCAGACAGTCAGTCACCTTTGAGTTATAATATACAGTGTGTCCGGGCATGTAGTGATCAAACTTTAAGGGCGTAATCTATGGACAATTTTATCGGTGAAAATACTTTAAATTTGGGGCTTGACCCATTTCTCGCATATTTACAAGGATTTAAGTTTTTAATTTTAAGTTTTCACCTCTTCCTTCAAAAACAAGTGATAGCGTGGGTAGTTTAACATTAATAAGCAAAAATTTTATATCATGCGATAGCCAATAAAATTATCTATTAGTAGAAGTAGAAAACAGATACAAGTATCATACATTTTAAGGGTGTAAGAATGGATTTAATTAGAAATAAACACGATTTTTTTCACATCTTTTTCAGTTATTTCCCAACACAAGAAAAACCAGGTCGTTAAGGTATGTTTTATTTGCATTGTATTATTAGTATTTGAGCCATTCTACAAACGATCATAGCAAATGTTGTGATAGGGATAGAGACATGCGATTTTTGGTTTTACAAAGGTAATACGATAGAGAATAATTCAAAGTAATAAAAACCACCTTTTATAGGGGCATTTTTTGGAGAAATTTATCAAATAACCAAAAAAACACGAATTTTTAAGCAGATTTTTTTCAGAAAGTATCGTTTTTTATTATTTGTTGGCATTTTCTGAGTATTTTATGTATTTTTTTAGTATCGTCTGTTATTTAGCATTATTACTATTTTTATTTTATCAGGATATACCTCTTAGTTTCAAAGTTATTACGATTTCTTTACAATAAGTACTTGAAAGGAAAAAAAATCTATAAAAAATTTAAAAAAAATCTAAAAAAATTTTTGACCACTTTTTTGTCGATAAAAATAGGTCTAGTTTCATCTATTTTCATATGTACACTTTAACGTGACTCACACTGTATTTAGATTTCTAGCGCTTAACTCAGAAGGGAACGGGAGCGAGACTTCCATATACAGGGTGTTAGGTAAATGGGTATATGAGCCGACACTAGCCCATGTTAACATGGTCATATAAATGGTATGGTGAAGTCAGAAAATTGATATCTTCATTTTAATTATTAAATTTTTCATACAAATCGGATTTTATAAAATTTATTTTGAATGAAAATTGAAAAAATTAAAATGATGATATCAAATTTCTGACCTCACCATACCATTTATATGCCCATGTTAACATGGGCTAGTGTCGGCTCATATACCCATTTACCTAACACCCTGTATGTATGCTCGCTCTATCACGTCATAATATGTCAATGCCACCCCTCCCGTGCCGCTCCCATACCTCAGGCATTGACTGAGTTAAGCGCTAGGCCTATAGTTAGCATAATAATAAAATAATAATAATAAACCCTACTTTTTTAAATGATATCAACATATTGTAAATATCTGTGTATGTTTTAGTAGAAAGAGCTGTAACTATTGTTGAAATTATAATTTGGTAGTAACTGCTCTATGAAATTATTCAACAAATTGATGTCAAAACGTAGGTACCTACTTATGTGAAGAATCACAGAATAGTAATAAGTACTTGGTAGAATGAACTAATTACCAGTAATGGACTTAATTATTAACTTGCTTTCAAGTTATTTTTTTTTGTTTTAAGGCCTTGTGTTAAGGTAAATAAAGTTTATATTACAGTGAAAACTGCTTTTTAAGGGGAAGGCCCTAGTGCAAGAAATGTCGATGGAAAAACCTAAGCGGTTATTAATACACACATATTTTAAGTTAAAATTAAATTGTTAAAGGAACTTAAGCCTAATTAAATAATGTTGGAATGCTACGAAGACGATCACAACTATTTAAATAGAAATAAAGATTTATTTTCATTATTTTATATTATTTCATTTCCAAAATTTCATTCTACATATACGTACTCTTCCGAAACTGTTAACCGTGGTATGGCGTATACGTTAACCGTGGCTGTGGCCTGCCTCTATACCATGCATTTAGCTATATTCCTTTACTTGGTCTATGTGCTATGTTATCACAAGATAAAACAATATCACAGTTAAAAACATGGTCAAGATTTCGAGAACAAAAGGAAAAGTTTTTTATTTAGCATCCATAATACTTAGGAACTTAGAGCGGTATAATATAATTCGAATAAGTTACAACCGTATTCACAAACGATGCTTGCTTAAGTGAAGCAGCAAATCGAACGAACAGCGTTGAATAGAGCTCTGTGATTGGTTCGTGTGTGACCCTGTGCGTCCACGCTCATAGTAATGTTTGTGAATACGGACGTAAGTTATAAACTTGACATAAACTGATAATCGAAGTATGGAAATTCATATAAATGAGTTGATTTATGAATTCCAGTTAGACGACTACGTTATGTGCTAAGTTATTGACAAATTATTTAGCATTGAGCACCTTAACGACATTGTTATAAAGACTGATTCAAAGATTGTCCTGCGGTTAACTCGGCTTAATCTTATTGGTTATTTGTTTATAACATTTATTTTTACATAACACAACGGAATGTTTCCATTGCCAAGTGTTTTTTCTTATTGATTCGGTAATTATTTTGTCGTTAAAATAGGTACGAGTGTCTAAACTCTGAGATGTAGACTGTAGGTTTTAAAAGTACCTAATTAATATCACCCGCTGGAAATTAGTATCGTGGTACACTCTCAAGCCGAGTTGGGGACCTTCTTGGTATACTTGGAAAGCCATTAAATATGTTTTAAATAATATTTTGTGTGCCAAATGATCGAATTCTATTTAATGAAATCATGTTATGTAACTGTTACATTGGGGTTTCTACCATGCTCCTACTTGATTATAGGTACATATGTAAAAATGTGGAATAATAATGAATATTAAAAAGACAAAACAAATTCATCTAAAATCCAGCACTGATTGTATTCAACAGCGGTTGTGATAATTCCATTCAGGTTTAGGAACCGGATTGGACAAATAATGTACAATCGCCTCTGTTAGTTCACAGTGGACACGTGCGCGGGCGCCGCTTCATACACCCACAGAACTAGACCTTCGCAAAGCATAGTTCGGCCAGTGGGTGATAGTGATACCACGCGTATATCACCGTAAAAATAAAAAAAAAAAATAATTGTGATATAGTAACTTTTTAATTGACTCCAAGTGGTATTACAAACTTTTTTAAATACGCTACCGCGTACTAATTACCATTAATCTAGGCGAACTGGCACGCACGTACTGGCTAAAGCGTTCGACAAAAACAACAAAAAAAAAGTTTTGATACAAAGTATTTGAACTGGCTGGAATTATGTGATAAAAATAAAAAGTAAAAAAATGCCGCGATATGTTTTGAAGTGCTAAAAGAATAAAGTTTTTTAGTTTATGATTGGTGAATAATTAGTGTTATAGAAACATCTCTGAGCCTAAAGAAAGTGGAAATACAGGTGAGTATCCAATACAATCTGTAATTAAATACTACTCTATTTTGTTAATTGGCCTGAATCTCACTTACCATAACTTTAGCTAAGTTAACCAGGCCGCGGAAGGATTTGTTATGTTTCGTAACTTAATTACCATTTATTAATTTTGTTCTGATTATCACATATTCTTCCAAACGTCAAAGCTTAAATATGTTTCATACGATTAATAATGTTTTTACACTCATTTGAATTATGATTTTACATGCATACTAGCAGTTCTAGTATAAAGCCAGGGTCTTTTTAACAATAGAGTCATGAACTTTAATATGAGGAAAACAATATAACTCCCACATAATTTTATAACTCACTCTTGACAACGAGTAGGTACCTATAATGTATTTAAATTGTTTACTACCGAGTTTATTTGAAATGTTTTATAGATATCTTGGATTAAAATCATAATATTTTACATACCTATGTAAGGTAGAGACTAAGAGGTAGGCTTGTCCATTTCATTTTGAGACCCATTTGTTGAGAGGCTCTACTGAGGCCATCGAGCCATCGAGCATTGTGCCTAGATCTTGCTATTAGTATTGAACAAAAATTCGATATTAGTAGTAAATTCGTTTTTAAGAATATCTTACACGGGTAAGATCGATATGATCGACATTGCACAGGCGTTGTTATGAATTTAACACAGTGTTTTATTAATAACTTTATACATACACTTAATGTTTTGGTATCTATGCAAACCACAGTTCTGTTCTGTGGTTCAAACCTCTAGTATTTACCTGTCTGTCTGTTGACCGATACTTGGTTTATAAGGGCAGTTGGTAAGTAGGTACTCCAAGATTTAAAAACTAATTTTCTTTAACAAAATGTGGCAATGATCAACATATCAACAAGCCTAGGTTTACCAAAACAAGAACATGTACAGATGACCGCACATCAGACTATACATTTTTGTTGCATAATAGCCTGTATTACAACAAGATAAGACGCTACTGTGTTTAGTTTGACGTGTTGTCGTCCGTATCAATGACCAAGTAATTATTTGCATTAGGATACTTATCTTATGTCATTTAAATATTAGTCAGCATAACCAATATGCTATGTCCTTTTAAAGCAAACAGATCCATTAACAAATATAATAAAAATATTATTTACTATAATACAAACTTTTCCATGAAATTTCTATTTTCATTCAAAAGTAAACGTTCATTGTTACCGACACCACCAAAGGCACCAAACGAACGCCTAGGTGTGCGGTTGCCGAAAAAGCTTTGTTGACAACACCACCGTATATAATGTTGGGATGCCATATGTTTTAAGACTATTATATCGAGCTAGTATACTCGTGAAGTGTGAAGTAAAAAATATAATTTTTCCTATGCGTTGATAAAAGACATGGTTAGGGCGATTCCACATTGCATCCGATTCGAATCCGTGAAATATCGGTCCGATATCTCTTCTTGGATTCGGATCGGCTCATAAAATTGTTATAG